AAAACAATCTTCAGAATGTGAAATAAAGACCCCTTTCACCTTTTCCAGCTACTCTGCGTTTTAGAAAGCAAATTGGTGTGACTTTACAAGGATTAACAGTTGTTTACTGAATTCTGAATATATTGTACATATACAGTAGATGAACCTTCTTAATATCATATTCCATTTATTGTAATACTTTTTCCAAAAACTTCTCAATATACTCTTTATATTAAAAAAAAGCCTCCTTATATATTACCTTATTGATGGGTCCTGTGCAGTCAATCACATATTATTTTATCTTATGCAGACATTCATATGCTGTGTGCAGGCTCTTTGGAGGATAGAGATCAAAGCACCTAACAACACAGATCACAATTTAGAAGAATATACTGCGCAGTGCATTCCTGCTGGGAGGATTATATGATCCCAAATGATAGAATTAAGTGAGAGACAACAAATATATTGGCTCATAAATACATGTGCCTGCCTTTAGCAGCAGAAAAAATTGTGATGCTCAGAGTTAACTTCAGGCGACTGTTTAGTGACTGAGGTAAATTAGTACATATATCAGCATAACAAGTGCCAGTGGCAATGTGGAAGTAGATTTCCTGATCAGAACATGTTATCGTTTTGTTTAGTGAGATACAAACAAAATGGCACAGCTCAGCCAAGCCAGACATTGCAGGAGATCTTAACAATGAGAATACAGTATCTGTGTTGAAATGTACAGTAGCGTAAGCAAATCAGTTATTTTTTTATCATTAAAGGTACAGGTTCACTGTGGACCTTTAATTCATATGTAATTACTCTATCTTTTCTGTTACCCATTTCCTCTCAGCGATCATACCAGCAGTAGAAAAGAATTAAGAACTCAAATATTTCATTTCAGTAAGAATGTTTCGCTGCTTGGAAAATTAGCAACATTACCCGTAAATAAAATGCCTTTGATAAGATATTAGATATTGTGTTCCCACATGACATCCAGCTCTTTAATTGTGATCTCTAACAATCTTAAAAAATCATGGTTCCCAGAGACCTGTCAGCTGTTTCTCTACAGCCCTACAGAGTAAGAATTAATTAGCTTCGTCCTCTTTTTCTTAGGGATCATTATATCAAACAAAAGGCAGGGAAAGGCAGGTTACTGGTTTGAGTGCTAACCATGTGAAATAAATCGAGACTCTGACAGAGATGGAGCCATGCTGGTGTTGGCGTTCCCTATGAAGCTGGAGTTCCTCTGTGGCTGTTTCATGTCAGCCAGCCACAGACTCCCTGCTGTGTTCGTGTCAAATGAGAGTACAGGTGAGCGCTTTCCTCCCGAGCTCAACAGGTTTGTCAATTGTGTGCGGATGTGACTCATAAAGTGTGGCAGCACTGCCAGGAGGAGGACAAGCTGGAGAGATTGTTAAACATCACTCAAGAGAGAATGAGATTGTTACATACTGGACCTTAAGATTTGTTTCAATGTCATGGAAGAGCCAGATCAGACATGAAACTAGGTGATGCAGAGAGATATATATATATACTGTACAGTATATCCTGCTGCAACATTCTACTGTCTACTGTGTCAAAGGTCCTTCAATAAAAAAAGAAAACATTCCCTCAAAAATGATCATTAATACAAGTGCATCCCCTGTAACAGTTTTCATACTACATCAGCATTGCATTGCATGAGAAAGAGTCTCTTCCTTATGACCGGATTGTTTCAATGAAAAACAGTGACATCTGAGATGCACTTGTATATGCAATCTCACACCCAGAGTCTCATTTACAGCCCTGGTACTTCCATGAGCCCCCATCCAGAACTCAACGCCAATAGGCGGGAAAAAAATAGACCGTCTGCCTGGGAACTAGCTGTGAGTGCACACTGGCTCAGTGATTGGGAGAAAACTGGTCATGAATCAGGCATTCTGGGAACCATCTCTACTGCCCACATACAGTAGCATCCTGTACCTCAGAGTCCACCAGCACACACAACATTTCTCTGCTCAAATTCCTTTTAATTTAAATTCATGTGAAAAGAGTGGTTTCTAATTGGAAATAAGAAAAGTAAATCGAACTGTGTACACGGTATGTTCAATTTAAGCAACCTAAAGCGTAATGCATGGTTTGGCTGATCGAAGGTGGATAATGATTTGGTCCCTGAAGAAACTGGCTCCTATTAGTGTCCGGTCCTGAGAAATCAAAACTCTACTGTCAAAATTAATCTGCAGCGTGCCGCCAAATTCTTGTTTCGTCAGTCTATAGCTAAAATCGTCTTTAGTATCTTTAGCAAAAACTGAACACATGAAAAGGGATAAAAAAAAGCTTACTGTACATTCAGGAAGAAACGGTGCGTTTTATTTTTTCCAAGAAACATTAACTTTATAAAACATAGAAACAAGAACCTCGCTGTTTAAAAAATGACATTCTGCTCTTTCCATTAGGCCCTCAACCCACTCTTCCTTCTAGTTTCATTCTATTGTAGGGTCTTTACAGGAGTGGCACTTGTGGTTTTGTGATTAATAATTGAAATGAATAATCAAGCAGGTGATTGCAATGCAGATCTGGTGTGGAAGCTGGAATCTCCTGTCCTGTTCTGTGTGTACTCATTGAGCCACAAGAAGCAGTATGTTCCTCAAAAAGTAAAAAAAAAGACCTAAATCCAAATTCACTCAGTGAGCAGATGCTAGAATTTGAATACAAATGTAGGTGTGATACTACCAAGGAAAACGTTCAGTAATATAACTAGGATTGCTACTACAGAAAAGATTTCCACGGTTTCTGTTAAATTATGTTCCTGGTCACATTATGAGAAACGACAACAGACGGTAAAGTTGTTAAAAATGAAATTTTTAAAAAGCAAACAACCAACTTGGGACACATTTGAATCCACAAAGGTCTTGCCTGAAGGCAGTTTCTACCAGGAAATAAACTAAGTGGGTGGACTTAGGACTCTCTCTGAAGACGGAAACAGAAGTTGAGGCTGGTGTTACTTCGTGACTTTGCTCTGGGGCAGCTTTTTACCCCCGGTGACGTTGTATAAGAGTAACATGGGCCGAAGTGGAGAGAAGGTGGCTTCTCTTCTTCAGACGGCAGGAGGTTTACACTCTCTTTCAGCTGTGTCATACACAGAACAGTGTACAGTACTGTAGATGGGTGGAGAATGAAAACAGTTTGTCTTTTCTTCACTCCCATTATACTGCGTGTCTTGTCACCTTTTATTTTTGTCAAAGTACTGTAATAGTCTCACGTTATATTTTATGATGTGTTTACCCGTACAAAGCTTTTTGAGAATTGTGTTGTCATACTCTGTGTTACAGAGTAGATTTCGTTTTGCCGAGTACGTTTTTGTTCTGCACCAATGAGATTATCTGATACCAGGTGACTTGATGTATCTTTGCCTTTATAGTACTTTCATATGGTGGAAATGATACTAAGGGATTAGCTACTTCTGGTCACTCATTTTCAGGGTAAAAAGCTCCCATAACTTCTAGTACATTTATTTTTCTGGATATGTCTCTCTATACCCATCTCTACCAAACTGTCTTCTGTCTTACAAACACTTATAACAGGGAAATCTTCGATTTTTATTAGGAACCGTTTTTGCGGCATCCCTGAAGTTCCCCCTCGTGTTTGGAGCAGTGGAAGAGACTTGACTAATTACAGAGGCCCGGCACTCCCAAGCTCAGTCCCTGCGCCATCTGTCACCGCCTTGACTGTCGCGTTAACTGCTTCCACTGCCCAGCCTTTCAATACAGATAATTGCCGATTAGAGGTTAAGCCCGCTTGCGAAAACGAGCCGGACAGGAAATATAAAGTGTCGGATGTGTAAGCCGAGCCCCTGTTTTATCACACAGATCAGACGCTGCTCACAACATCAAATCCGCCGGAATTGTGTACAGTACGTCCTCTCAGGTTTAAGGTTACTGGAGCCCTTAATCCCCAGAGCGTAAAAGTTCAACCCCCGGCTGGCCGGTTGCCACGTGATGCTCAGATTGAACTCACCACTGCTAGCAGCTTCGGTGAGGTTCAGCAGGCCTCCCCCTAACCCGCCGTAACTATGGCAACTGTAGGTTCCATTACCGTTGATGTACAACACCTCCTGTGCAGTTGGAACGGCTGAAGCAGTGAAAGTGACCTGGGCTGGCTCCTGTTTAAAGTGTTTGTCGGCTGGAGCAGCTTCATCCTGCGAAGAGAAGCAACATTCAAATGTCAGAGACCGTAAATTGCGGTGCGGCTCTTGGCAGGGCACAGGAACACAGCTACAGTACAGTAGGCCCCATCTTGAATTCACGGGCACAGAAGGTTATCCCATATAGTGTTTCGTAGTGTATTGTGCCCGGCTTCTTCCGGAGTCCCGTGCAAGGTGAAATACGGTTCTGTAAGGCGGTTAAAATAAAACAACTAACAGAAATGCCAGCGTTTAGCGTCTTAAACCCCACTTGCTCTGCGGGCTGCAGTAAATAATTTCAGTCTCTTTCCCTCCTGAGATAGAGATTCCATTTTGCATTGTAAAACATCTGCATTTTTTCAAATGTTTTGGATTTCATTCTTGGTTCACGGCAGCTTCTGAAGCAGAAATTTATCACGGGGTAGTCTGGACAGGCCCCTTTTGTGCAAACACTTAAAGTCTTACTATAGTATATCTAATGATCACATACTTTACAGTACATGTGCCTTTGGCTCTGTTCATATGTATTAATATCTGCAATTTTGACTGTTGCTAGATAGCGTTAAATATAGGCTCTTGGGGCTTCATTGTAATCAGTGTTAATTGAGAGTGGTTGGGAATTCTGTTAATGTGTTCATCTAAAGAGGTCATTATTGCAATCTGAACTCAGTGTAAGGATGATGTTGAAGTCACTGTCTTTCTACAGTGAATTGCAATTGAAATTTTATGTTTTACTTAAGCAGAATCAGTTTTATTTTACAAGCTTGTCCTCAAGGTATGTCTAATGAAAAAGATACTAAATGCATACTGCAGTGGAATCAGCATTTTAAAGAAATCATGAACGTGTTTTTTCAAATATTCTTATGACATTTATTTATTATTTGAAATCTACTGTAAGTTTCAAAGCGTGTACACGATTTTAAAAAGTAAAAAGTGGGGGAGGGGGTGATAATTGGCCTGAAGTAAAAACCGCCACTAAAGAATTTACAATTTCAACTGAAAAATATCACACACACACAAAAGCATGAGTGCAACATTTAATGTCTGGATTATGTTTTTGGATTATGTTTTATGTTTTCTTTCAAACATTTCAACAATTTAAATGCTAAGAGAAATGTATTCAATCTAATAACAAAAACATTTCCCAAATACACAGAAAAGTTAAACTGAACTTAAAAGTATGCTAGGAAATTACTTAACTAATCACAGAGGTTCATGGGGGAGTGCTTTGTATCATAAAGGATTACAGACAATTTGTAAGCAGTTGATGTACTGAGCTCCTGAAAAGAACAGGAGTCGGGAATCTCCTGTCAGGTAATATGCTCTTTTGATCAAAACACAGAAGAGATAGAATTGTAATTGTAAAATAAAATTAATTAATTGTAAAACATAAAAATGTAAAGGGCAGCCTGGTGTAATAGAGAGATGTGAATTCGGTGGCATGCATATTGTAGGTATGAATTAACATACATTTTTTAATCTGATTAAATGGGTATTTCTTAAAAAATAATATGATGTCACATTTCCTTTTCAACTATGAGCAGCCGAATCTAAATAAAAGTAAAGGATAAAGGAGAGGTCGGGGCATGATTTTCTTTCAAAGCAGATAAGATTAAAAAGTGCATTACATTATTACCATAATAAAAAAAAAAAAGATCAGGTAAAAATACTCCTAATGGAGCAGTTCACCACATGTCATTTAGAAAAGGATTCAATTAATGATTAAGGGGGAAAGCTAACAGGGCTCAGCCCCCCCGCATGAGCCGGGACAGAACAAAGACCCTCAGACCAGAACAGGCACCTCTGCCAGCTGGCCTGATAAGTCACTGAAACACAGCGGCGCGGCTCCCCTGCAACAGCTCCTACATGACGCGCACCGCCGACAATGCCGTGGGTAAACAAAACACGCGCCGCACGCTAAGAATAGACGGGCCAGGGCTCCCGCCAGTGCGTTCAACTCTGCTCTCCACCGCGGCGGTTTCTCTCCAGATCTTTTGCATAGGCTGCTGGGAAATGAAGCCGAGGCTTCTCTTCAAACCTGCGCATTATGCAAATGTATGAAAATGACAGGCCCTCATGCAAATTTGCCTGCCGCTGGTAGGGCCGAATAGCCCGAGACACAGGACAGCAGCTAATGAACACTCCGCACAGCCTTTCAGCCAGCAGAGCTTCAAAAAATGTATCGCTAATAAGCAGCACTTGAGTCTGTGAACGCTTAGGCGCAGCGTTGCAGCCACAGAACACTGTCTTTGTCCTAGTGAACACTGTGTTTGGCCTAACGGACTCTAAAAATGGAGGGTTTGTGCTTGTGTCCGCAGATTCGGTCAGCTTCTGCCTGTGAGGGTTTCAGAAATATCCGGTTCAGCCAGGGTGCACTTGTGGTGCCTGGAGCAGACTTAATTCGTCAAGCGTAACATTGAAGGCCCAAAACAGGAAATATTGATACAAAAAAGCCTTAAACCTTTGGATGTGAATACATGGCTAAAAAACACCAATACTTACAGCATAAGAGACAATACATCTCACTGCAATCTCAACTTGGAGACCACCAGCAGCAGTGAGCGCCCCTTAAACTTGGCTGACTTATAATTTTTTTTAAATTAACAATTCCAATTACAGACTCCACCTGAGACCCGCTTAGTTTACCAGTGTTTCAAATGATAATGTCCTGGTAAATAATAACCATACATATACTATGGATTTACATTAACTACATATAGCAGTAAATATTTTACATGCCCAGTAACAAAGGCTTTGTTCCATACTCCTCAGCTGATTAATGGAAAGTTTTTTTTCCACATGTATGTGTATGTGTAGTACCTCCCAAAGGGCTGTATTAATTTTTTTAGGCATTTGCTCAGTCAGGATCAGTGACAGGACCACAAAACAGCTAATCATTGATTCCTATTCTTAAAACGCACAAATGCAGCTGTCCTGATTTGCTGTCCTCAGACGCAATCGCTTGCAGACTCTGGACAGGTGTCTTAGATCCACGCATACAGTGAACAGAGCTGTCACTCAGCTACACACCAGCAGGAAAATGCACTCCCGGGCAATAAGGGGCACTACATCTTTAAAAACGTACTGTAGAAAGGCAGCCAACCACATCTTACACGAGAGTGCCTGGAAGTCTGGATTTAGCTTGTCTGGCAGGACTAAAATATGTATAGATTATGTCGGCACATACAATATATTTAATATACATACTGTATATAAAGTATATGTTTTCTGAAGTACCATATTTGAGAATATCAAGAACTGATCAATACAACTAAGATTTGAAGGCTCAGAAACAATGGCAGCTTATACCGTTTATAAATTTGTAAGACTAGCTCAGCAATTTTGATGCCTTTTTCAGACAAGGGCATCCTAGTGTGTTTCAGATATAGCTGGAATCGCACTGTGATGAATCTTTAAAGTCTGTGACAGAAAGACAGTCATTCTGCATCTAGTATTTTGATGCTCGATAACAACAATGGCATAGAATTGCACAGTCCAATCTCACAATAAATTAAACAAACATCCGTGGATATACCAAGGTCTCTCTGGGAAAGATTACAAGACACCATTCTGAATTGGAGCACATTTTTTTCAGCAGTGTGAAATACTTTTTTTTTTTAAAAGGAGGGAGATTGCCCTTAGAAGAAAATGTGGCATAGAATAAGTTAAAATATCCTCCCCTGACATTATACAGACCTCTAGTCATATATACTGTACAGTATATGTATTTTTCCAGTAACAGAAAGTTACTTATCCCAGGTGAGTAGAAACTGGGAAACTGGGACAAATAGGTCAATACACCCTGCATGGGACTGCACAGCTGTCCATCACGAGACAGACACAAACAGGAATAAACTTATCCCTGTGTTTAAGTCTTTAGAAGGCTGGAAGAAATTGAAACACCTAGAGAAAACCCACACAAAGGTAGAAAATATGCTAATTCTACCTTGAAGGCACCCCCAGTCCAGAATTAAAGCCAGGACTCAAGAGCTAAGTTATTGTTGCATGTGGACAGTTTTTAGCATAAATCCATATATACTGTATATACTGTATATGCATATGGGAAAAAGCAGTAAAGGATAGAGATTCTAGCTTCAGGATTCCAAAATGTATACTTGCAAATAACTAAAAAGGATTCTTAACATAAAAGTAGACATCTTGGACTCATGTCAATATAAAATTACAACAAATACACACAAATACTGTACTTCTAGACTACAAAGTCACCCAGAGAAGACGAGCTGACTAATCACAACGCTCACAGTTCTCCCTGCTCTGGAATCGGTCCGGCAAACAGCAGCAGGATGCAGTGGACTGTCCATCTCTGATAAGATAAAGGAACTAAAACCCTTTTCATGCCAGAACCAACTACTCACTCAAATTCCTCAAAGGTCTCGACAAAGTCAATTCTTTTCCAGCAGCCGTCGTGAAGTACAAACCAATGTGTCGGACGACGCGTCAAACTGAGAACAGGAGGCACTTTTTTACACAAACAGTTGTGGGAGTGTGGAACGAGCTATGCAGCCATGTTGCCGCTGAATCCGATGAAATGACTGAATGAGATCCTTGGGTCAATGGGCTAGATGGGTTGAGTGGCCTTCTCCCGTTTGTAACAGTTCTTGTGTGCTGGCAGTAGCCCTCATTTACAATATCCAAGTGGCAGCAGCTGCACACTTACCTACTGGAGAGAGACTTAAGCCTCTCAAGTATAAGGATGGGCCACTGACCTATTCTATCTCGACAAACTGCTCAGCTACAGGCATAACAACAGTATTTTCAAAGACAGGCACGTAGTCCCATCCTTAAAGCAAAATGATCTTTTCTGTGCATGCACACATGCTCTTTTATGCATACTGCACTGTACATACAGTATATGTATACATCTTCTGTGGAGAAACAGTGTATCAAGAAATATTTGGGCTGAAGTAGTTCCAGTAGGGAGCTGTATCAGCAAGCGAAGGCTGCAAAGGAACAAGTAAAGGTTTATTCCACGCTGAAAAGAGAAGAAACACAAC